CTAAATCGACGCTCAGACCTAAGTTATCTTATGCCAACAACGTTTTCTCATAGGGACGGTGAGCAAATGGAGTCGATGCCTACGCATATACACACTCCGCTTAATAATGCAGAAGATGGTGAAAATGATAGGCCAATCCTCGATGCCGGAGAGAATTGCGACTTTCCCCTCCACATTGTGGACGACTCGGAACAGGGCCATGCGGACATTACAACTCCTAGCCCACCTCCATTTGTAGTAACAACTGAATACACAGATGAGGAGCACGAAACCAATCCGGACTCAACCTCCGAATGGGATGGAAGGGCAATGAGGGGTGCAGTTAGTACATACTCGGACGAAGACGACGATGAACCATTCGGGGGGAGAATATCCGCTCGAAGATCTATAGGGGGGAGGTGGGAAGAGCGGTGGCGCTTGTTCGGGAGATCACCAGTCGATCTCCAAGCGCGAATGGTCCCCGGAAGTATCGAAGCCACCCTACAAGCGGAGCCTTCCCACCCCCCATTAAGGGAAGAAGAAATTTTAGCGCCCCATGCGAGGTTTTCGATAAAAAAGGATAAAAGCAAGTGTAGCATCAAATTTGATCCTCCTGTGTGAGCCATCCATTCTACTTTCTTTTCCTTTTTTCCACAACTAACCTGTGCACATAGGTCTGGAAGGTTCATACTATTGAAACTATGGAGCCAATCTAGGGATGAGAATATTGATATTCAGAGCATAGTGGCGCATGGGTTCGCAGGCCCGAGATATTTCCCGGCTGTGGAGATGAGATAGCCATTTCAAGACGCAAAGGCAAGGTAACCAAAGACGGTCAACTACAGCGGCAACAGGCTTATATCACAGCATTGGAGTGAAAAGACTTAACTCATGTATACATATAATACACACGAGCCTTTCCTGGATACACGTACTAGAAGACATTCATTTTGATCCACTTGTAGCACCCCGGTTCCCCACCACTGTCAAAAAGTAATGCCAAGCCGCACAGCTTCGGGTCGCAAGCACAAACCACAATCCTCCGCTCTCCGGTTGGATCTTCTCCTGTCGTACCATTTGGCCGAACAAGTGGGGGTCTAGCCGCCATTGGACACTAACTTTTGACGCCACTCCACAAATTCTTGCGTGAGAATGCCACCGTGTCCGCTTTCCTCAAGCCTAAAGACCTCGATGATGGGTGATTTCTCTCGCCTCCGAATCCTCCATATACCATCACCCCTAATAGCTCCCTTAAGCCCTAGTCGAAGAGAAAACAGTTAGCCAGAGCCATCGTCAGCCCAGCGAGCGACTCAGAGTACGCCACCAACTTACATTCTAGGAACTCTGCAGTGAAGTTAATACATAGATTCCCATCCCAGATCCTACTCCCTCTCTTCACAATTGCGGGGATCGACCTAGTCTCCAGCTCCTCGATCGACTTTAAGATCCCATCTTTACTCCGGAACCCTACTATTATTTTGGGCACGCCTAGAAGAAAGGATTGAGCCCAAAACTTCAAGAGTTTCCGCTCGAACTTATATCTATCCCTAGGGTGGAGAATTTCTTCGCTTGTTTTCAATTCCACCCAGTTTATCGGGTCCTCCCTATTCTCTGGCTTGCAGTCCCAGGCTTTTTGTTCGGTCAGCTGCCAATTTTATAGCGTAGTGCGTTATACCAGGACATACCAGCGTCGACTTCGCCTCCTATTACTAGTTTCGATTTGCCGATACCCGTTCGCACGACAGAGCAGTACTGTGCGCTATTATTCACAATTTGATCTTCCCGGCCTTCAATATAATCACGGGAGGTAGCATCCCAGGGCTCTGGTATGAGTGAGAGGGTCTCAAACTTGTAGCCTGGCAAGACCGTCAGGTCCACCATGACCAGATGTAAATTCATGATTACAAACCCCAGAAACTCATAAGATCCTGAGACTGATTCCCGGGTCGAGGCTGTTGAGTATACTGAGTGGACCATTCAGCTAACTTGTAATCGTGATTCTCTTCGATAAATCTTTTCAAATTAACATCTACCCTGACGGCCTTAGCCTAACGGATCGCCTACATGGTTCCCTTGGAATAAATGCAAACCGTCAGCTGGGGTTGACGATATGGTGCCGCACAGCAAGCCTACTTGGAATAGAGTAGCATTCATCTCAAACCTACCTATCGGTTAGCATTGCAAAATCAACAAAAAAGGGTATAGCAAATGTAGTGTGTTACCCTCCAAAGTCGCTACATGGAGTAATCATGATCTACATAGAATTGTCAATATCAAGGAGCTTTCCGAACTAGCAGATAGCTAACCTTCGTCATCATGCCCCTCCAAGTAATAAAGTCTGCCTCGCATTGCTTACCCGTCTCCTTCTCCAGGGCCATAACAGTTGCCAAAAGGCTGTCTAAGTGGTCATCGGCAGTATCATCCAGCTTCTCAAAAGTGTCAAAGCCTTTGGATAAATCTGCACCTATCCTCGGGGGATAATAATACCGTAATGACGATTCGTCTAGACGAAACTTGTGCTGGCCATCATAAGAAAAGCATGCAATTTCCTACAAATGGGCTTTTAGTGTCGATAAGGGGGGCTAGAGCGTAGAGTATGAATTTACTTTGGGTCTTCGAATTGCAGCACTGGAACCGGCGAACCGTTCAACGGGATGAATTTCAAAATTATCCATCTTGAGAATTTCAGATGTGGGATAGAAGTTATATTGGAAATTCCCAAAAACAGGAGCACAATTTTTAGCGGAAAGAAGACAGAAAGAGAGAGGAAATAGATATATGTTTGGGCTTTGTTTGATGCCGATGATGCAGGTGGTGGAAATGCGTTCATGGTGCATTTTCGCCGCCCTACATTAACCCCAAGAACAATAACAAGCCCATATTCCCCAACGAGACATCTAAGAACAATATATAATGTCCACACGAAGCACCACCTCGCGTCCGGGCACCTCCGGGGTCCGACGAAATCTATTCCACCACCACCTTAGTCGCCGACCAACCACGAGCTCCACGTCGACTTCTGCCTCGACGCTTCAAGCGTCCCCTGAGGACACCAGCGCCGATATTGTGATCCGTGACAAGAATGGGAACTACCAAGTCGAGGTCCCGCTGATACCGGAGGAGAGGCAGGAGGAAGCATTGGAGAAGGAGAGTATGCGAGAATTCACCGTTCAGACAGACCGTGTGAGGCGGCATAGTTAACATGGTACCACAGAAGAGGATGCGAGGTTGGCTGAGGCCGTCAAGCACCACTCAAGGGATAGAAACAGACAACCTACTGGTAAAGCAGCAAGCTTCTGAACTCTTGCCCGAAAAACATGTCCGCTAAGTATTCTACAATACAGAGTTAATGGTTGCAGTTCAAGCTAGTCTACGAAGTAAAGCAGCATCGCTCCAGGAGGATAATTGGATGTATGAAGCCGATGATGCTTCTTGAGTTTGCGGTTGAAGGTTATGGCGTTCGGCGAAAAAGATACGGCGTACTTGAGGCGCTAGGCGGGTTCAGCTTCGTCAGGAGTACATTGTCTGTTACAATGGCTCGGATTTGCTCCAAGAGTAATAGCAAGCTCTTAGTCCAGGTCTACGGCTGGTGGTGGTGCAGGACCCCCCACTCTTTTCGACTGGGGCTGTCCCCCTCCCCCTCCACCAACGGGACCACCGAATAGACTCCCCATCATGTCCATCAGCGGATTGGTCTGTCTTCTTATCTGTATCCCGAAATACATTTCTCCGATCTGTTCTAATGCCTTTATGATACCATAACGTTAGTAGTGCGGTCATCTCTCGACACGAACAGTCGAAACTACAACTGTTCTCGGGTACGCTTACATCGTCCCAAGTACCTGCGTCTCTAATATGTACTGCGTAGTGGTTCTTCGATAGCCGAAAGAGTTCTGCGTTTCCTCTCTGAACCGATTGTAGCAACAGGCCTAAAAAGTTTAATAGTGGCAAGCTCGGATATATCCTGAGGTCTGCAGTTGCACTACTGGTATCTTGCACTGACAGGTTTTTGTTTGATTCCGTCAGGCGACTTGTGAATATCTGCAATGACCGGTTGGCGTCTCGAAGATTGCCAACCAGGAGATATGGGAAGACGGCTCGGGCGGCATAGAGAGCTGCCGTGTGTGACTCGTCTTCCATATACCATTCATATTCTAGCCGTGCGAAATACTCTGGTGATTCTTTAGTGCCGAGGGTAAGGTGGCGTTCTGCTTCATAAGGGTCACGCTCTAATGAGTGGTCAGCAAAGAACATTCCCATAGCAAACCATGGCGACCCCACCTTCAGCATACAAAGTGCCAGCTACATGGTGAAGCTCTGGGTCACCAGCAGGGAATTCTCCGAATTTTGATGACCATCTACAGGCCAATTAGTACCTTCGATACGAAAGTATTGACGTCTAAGCTCCTCTCACGCTATAAATTCCCCAATAAACCTCTTCCGACTTGGTTCCTCAGGCAAGAACAGTCTCAATAGCTGTATGAGTTTCCCTGTGACTCGCACAAGTCAGCCATCTCGTACCGTAGAAACAGCCGACCCCTTCCGGAACCAGGGACTCTGTAATCCAAACCGAACCTTTGTTCCCAGAGTCGGGTTTGAGTTCCGCAGACTTGTAGACATCCGTGAGGAAAAGACACAAATCCCCTCCGCTTCCCCCCTGTCCGGCCTTTAGAAGCGCCTGAGCACCAGAGAATAGAATATCAATTGCCGAATTAAAGTTGGCTTGTTTGACATAGCGTGATGCGACGACTCTGAGTTGCTGATGTGCTTCGTAGTACTGACCTTCCTCAATCCTATGGGCGTGAAATTGTTGTTAGTGGGTTGGAAGAATTCGGAAACGGCTGAAGATAGCATACTAACCGTTGCTGCAACCGTGAAATGGTCTTATCTATTCTAGAGCCCATGATGACGAGCTGACTGGTCAGGGTAGATGTTCAGTACCCGCTCGCTTGGTGGCTTAATTATTGAAGTCGCCTATGGAAAGCCACCTATAGTCGCTAAGCGGCCTTAAATTTCCAGCAGCCTTCTTGGTCTAGCGGTTTATGATTTGGGTCTCATACTAGCTTATGAATACACTGATAAGTGTGTGTCATCCCACGGTCGCCAGTTCGATCCTGGCAGAGGGCAATTGCAAAATTTTTCTCTTTTTTTATTTCTACAGAAAATATATCGATATTTCTACACTACTCACACACCAATTCTTTTTTACTCCCGCCTATCCTTCTTTACTTCTCGAGTCTCCATCGACCCAGTGCCCGCTAACCAGAGTTTCCAGCAAACCCACACAAACCCCAGCACAATTGCCGTCACTGTCCCAATCTCAACCGTCCGGGACTTGTCCAGGTCTAACACAGGCACGCCCACAGTTTCCAAAAGTAACCCACTGGAGTTGGCTGGTTGAGGTGATAACTGATAAAACATGGTCTTAGGCCCAAACAAGCCGTCATACCCCAGGTTCACACGGTCAAAGGGGTTGACAGACATCTTTGACCCTTCTTCTGCTCTACAGGCCCAAAAAACAACTGGCCAGGGGACCTCGACATCCGTAGCACCACCGCCTGATTTAGGTGCGAGATATCGGAAATGAAGGGGAATGTCCGCGGTCCAAGAGCCTGTTGCGGCGGCAGATGATTGATCACCACCTGGTGTGTCGATCTCTACCAGCATACTACTGCCCCACTTCTCGATAACCCAATCGGGCGCTTCAAGATCCGTTTCGCCATATAATCCCCGTAGCCCCTTCAGACCTTTGCTTTTTAAAAATAGCAAGTCCGAAAGCTGGTATTTATCCGCGAATAGATAGGATGGCAATGTTAGATAGGCATGGAGAGCACATGCTTCTCCTGGAGGAAGGTTTTGGGAGGGTGAAGGGAATTGGATACGCAGAGTTGGATGTAGACCAGTCGGGTAGACAAAGGAGACAGAGAAGGTAGAAATAGATGGGGGAGACGACGCGTGGTGCCGCGAGGGAAAGGAAAAGAGGGTCGGAGCTATAGGAGAAAAATCATCAGGGAGAGCTCTTTATGGGGCTAGGGAAAACACATACAAGGTTTCTCATCTTCCCCGACGACAGTGAGCCATCCTCCTAGTTTCAGTTGTTCGGGCTCTGTGGGATTATCGTTTGCAAGCACTCCAACCTCTACCTTGTCATTGCCGCCAACGATTTCAAATACATCATCCCACATCCCTAAGTCAGGGGCTCGTTCCCAGAACGCATTGAGCACAAGGGAGTGTGAGATAGTGTCGTAATCGATGTCAAGGTAGCTCGCCGACAGAAGTGACAGGGCTCGGTCGTGACACGCACTATCAGACGAGGGACAGATTTTTTGTTGGATATAGGTAGTTAATTCTCCCAGAGAGGTAAGTGGTTGATGATACTGAGATGCCGATGATGATGAAAAACGCTCAGATATCAGTGGCAGACGGATAAAGGATTTCTACACAGCGATATGGTCAGTCAATTGTCAGGAAGCGGATCAAAACTTGGTCCCGCGCACCTCGGGGGTTTGACATTTCAGTTCACCAAAAACCTTTCGGAGCAGAGGGCACAGAAGATCACTATAGTTGATTTAGCACAGCCCCCATGATCTGTAAACACCGCATCCAACTGTACTTACGGCGAAATGTTTCTTTGCGGGGTAAAAAATATGTGCAGTCCTGGGGCTACCCTCGATACAAACGGAGCGACTGAATTGTAGGGGTGGGTTGACGCCCAGCGAATGTGTAATTCGTGACATTGCTTCAGGACACGCCAGAGCTACCAATTGTCAGCTTTTCACGAGATCTAAGAATTTACTGTCAATCTCTCTATACCTCTTGAGGCAACTCGTGAAAGCCGACAGTGATCCTTGCCTCTCGAGCTGATTTCAGAGAGTGTATAGTAAGTGAGTGATCGGTCACCTTCAATGAAGCCGGATCAAAGGGGTTAGTCGCATTATGGAGATAAGTGATACGTTGTCGCATGGCGATTCACGATTCACGGTCTATATTGTTGTAATATTTGTAGTCCCAGGTATCCAACGTATGTACATGCATCTTGTACCAGCACTAGTGCAGCGGTAGGGTAATTTGCGCATTTATGTCATTGCGACTACCGTATCTGTATCCATGTCCTTCGCACCTTCGCTTCGCTGTGGCATTGGCCGTACCCGCACTCATAAGGCTGCGAAGAGCAAAACAACACTTGTCCTCGCCACACCATGGTTACAAAGGGCAAGCTCTTTCGATCCTCGTTGCACTTCACATTGTATTCTAGATACTGATTCCAACTGGCGCAATTATGAGAGGTCTGGATCTCCTCTGTCCTGTCCTGCTAGCTCTTTCCACCTTCTCTGGTGGGGCATATGCAGCACGCAAACCAAATAGTGTTCTTTTATCTACCGTCAAGACCCTCACCCTCCGTAAGGATCTCTTAACTACCCATCGTCGAGTTTCTGCTATTCCACAGGTTATGCCCCTGATTCTTTTCTTTCCCTTTTTTTTTTTTTTTTTCGCGCGCTCGATACAGCAGTGCTGACGGCTCTTCATTGTCGTAGCTAAAATGCATCGGTGGTAACGGCAAGGGCTTATATGAAGTCGATGTCATGCGTTGTAAGAACCAAGGCTCCGATTACGACGACGAAAAGTGAGCCTTGTTGCAACCCCGCTAGTGCCATTGCTGATCCATCTCTCAAGCGTTCAATGGACTTGCACAGCCTCTCTTCCCACGGAGTTCAAGCTCGGCTCTACCGATGTCATCTGCGAAGGCTACAAGTCTCCTGAAGACCCTTATATTCTCAAAGGAAGCTGTGGAGTTGAATATCGCCTCCTCCTAACCGATAAAGGTGAAAAAAAATATGGTCGTAGTGGCAATCTCTGGCGGGATTTCAAGAGAAGGGATGTGGATTGGGCCAGTAGACTGTTTTGGCTTTGCTTCGTGGGGGCAGTGGGCTGGATGATCTACTCGGCTTTTTTTATGACTCAGAGACGCCGGTGGAGGCCTGCTGGTGGTAATAATCCTTGGGGGTGGGGGTGGGGAGGTGGAGGTGGAGGTGGTGGAGGCAACGACCCCCCTCCACCTTACGATTGGCAACCTCCCCGCAAACCGTGGACAGGCACTCCTGGGGCCAGGCAGGATGGATGGAGACCAGGCTTTTGGAGTGGGGCTTTAGGGGGTGCCGCCGCTGGCTACATGGCCGGCAATCGAAACCGGGATCAGCCACGAACTCGAGGGTGGGCCTCATATAACAATGGCGGCGAGGGAAGCTCGAGAATGGGCTCGAGTGGCGGCAGTTCGGAATCGGGGCCTTCAACATCATCGACTAGATATGAAAGCACGGGGTTTGGGTCTACCTCCCGAAGATAGATAATACCCGCCATCGTGAAGACGATGCAACGTTGGGGAGTTTCGCCATTCCAGAGCTACAGCCCCCATGCAAAGAGTCCCGCGTTTCGCTACTCCTCATTTAGCAACGAAGTGCAAGATGTATGATCCGTCAAATAAAAAATGCCAATTTACGCTACCAAGCTTATAGCAGCACCACCCCGCAGAATATCTAAAACATAGATAAACTAAGGACGTGAAGGAGAGCAAAAATAATAGTTCAGACGAAGTTTTAGAAAGCTATGCCCCTCCCCAGGTGGATTAAAAGACCTAAACGTATAAGTGTAAGATGTTTGTAGGGGTCGGAACCGCAACCGAAAAATCCAATGCCTACATATGGAGCTTCACTCTGCGAAATCACTGCTTCGGTGATCATGCACACATCACCGCTAGCCCGCCTAACACTCACCGCAGCAGCACGGCCGGTTCTAAAGTCACATAGCTACATAATCGCTGTCAATCATCGTCGTAATGACTCCACTCTTTCGTTGAACCTTAAAGCCCGATGCCTCCCCCTCACCTATGACTATCTCTCTCCTACGCCCTACCACCTACTCAATCTCTCCCTAACGGATTTCCTACCTCCTCCTTCCCCTTCAAGAAATGCCCTTACGCTTGATCTCCCTTCTATTTACCCGGCCCAGCCGATGCCCCTTGGTTCCCATCTCATTTACTTCCCTCCACAGATACCCGAATCGCTCTTACTCCCCGACGGTACGGACCCTCTCCAGTCGCCCGGAGCCCCATGGGTGCGCCGCCTATGGGCTGGCGGCTCGGTGAAGTGGAGCCCTGATCCAATGCGCACGCTACGATTGCGTGGGCAGAGGGCTGTGTGTATGGAGAATATCACAGACGTGGAAATAAAGGCAAAGGGGGAGGCAGAGAAAGTGTTTGTGACGATTGAGCGGAGGGTGGGGGAAGTTGAGGAGGGAATGGCGGAGGATGATGTCAGATGTCAATTGAGCGGAGAGAAGGCATCGGTAGTGGAGAAGAGGATCATTGTATTCATGCGCGAGAGGACGGCTGAGCAAGCAGCAACAGCAGCGGGGACACCAGGAAAGGTTGTGAAGCGTATGTTCATTCTTACGTTCAAGTACCGGTGGCCTCTCTATTTCGAGTTATTGTTGATAAATTATCTCCGCGACAAATAGCATCCCGCGACCCAGCCTTCACACACACCCTCTACCCTCTCCCGCGCTCCTCTTCCGCTTCAGCGCTCTGACCTTCAACGCTCATAAGATCCACCTTGACACAACCTTCTGTCGCTCCACAGAAGGCCACCGGAACCTCCTGGTCCACGGCCCTCTGCAGCTCATCCTGCTATTAGAGCTCCTAACAAGGAAAGCACCAGGCGTGTGCGACGTGCCAGGTGCAATGATCGAGGAGATTGAGTATAAAAATCTGTCCCCATTATACGCGGAGGAACCTTTGAAGATCTGCGGAAGACCGACAGATACTGAGGGTGTGTATGATTTATGGGCTGAGACCCCAGCAGGCGGTTATGCAGTTAAGGCTACGGCAAAGGTTAGAAGAAGAAACATGGAGAAACCAAATACGAGTGAACCATAGGCTCAGAATTAAAATCCATATACGCCTAATATAGGCATTCATCTTTCTGTGAAGCTTTTGGCGTATACATACATATTACCCCATATGTGTGCATGGCAACCGCGAATTGAAAGTGTCCCCGCCGAGACTAAAAAGATTTGCGCTTCCCAGCCTACTTAGCAACATATCAACATTACGGGGCACAAAAAGAAACGGAGGGCCACTCCTCAAACAAGGATAACAAAAAAGTTATAGATTTGCGCCGGCCGGGACTCGAACCCGGGCCCTCAGTAGGCGCAAGGATGGTGGGAAACTGAGATTCTACCCCTGAACTACCGGCGCTGGCATCTTAGGGTTTGCGTGGCGTAAGTCGACTCTTGTGGCTAAATAGATCACTCGCTTGGGTACTGCAGATCTGTGCATCTTGGCCGAGACCAACAGACTGTTTTCAAACAGGTTTTCCAACCTTTTATCTTGTTTTTATTCAGACAACTTTCTCGGGTATTTCCGGGTGTGGCCTTTTGCTTGTCTGGTATATTTATTTCTATATATTATACATACAATCTTCTCCAGGTGACAGCCCCAGCCAAACAAAAGAAATCGATTTTCGCGATTGACACCGCTGAATAGTATAGGACCTGCCCAAAATGCCAAGTGGGGGATATGCAAATGAATGGATAAATATCTTTCGCCAGCCTTTGAAAACATAACCTTCTTAACCTCATAAAGGGTGTGCCATACCAGTAAACAACAACAGGGTGACCTTGCTCCAACCCGTAATGTACAGCCGAAAACAGCAAGAGAAAAGATCCCAATTTATATGGTAAAGAGACAAATAGCTAAAGACACCATAACTAAAGGGACTTGAAGAGTAGAAGCACTACTCTTAATGTCGCCAGGTATGGTGCCCGTTTGTGTAGGCGAACCAAGACGACCACCACCGGTAGCTGTGGCGACGGGAATTCCGGCTCCCGGGACACCCGTGGCATCCGGTACGGCGCTTGGTCCCGTGCCAATCTCCTTGATATTGTCTTGGGTAGAGTTGAAATTGGTTTGGGCTAAAGAGATTTGGTTATTATCCAAATCATAGACCACATAAGCACTTCGGAGGAAAGTGTCTCCCAAGACATTTGTGCTGCCGCCACTACTGCTGATGCCGAAGAGGCATGCCGGTGTTCCATCCCCAAAGGTGAGTCGCCTGCCATCGGATTGGACGCCTGGATCGATGACAAGTTCATTCATCGGCACGCTGATGGTGGGCTGAGTGAACGTGAAGTCAAGAGTACCGCCGGTGTTGGCCAAAGAACACGGGACATAGGCTGCCTGTGACTCGGCATCGTATTTCGCGTTGAACATTCTAAAAAGAGCAGAGACAATGTTATTCGGTAGATAGGACAAACTGCTCCCCGAGTCTAACAAGACAGGAATGGTGGTATCCGAAACTATTGACCTTTTACCCCCGTTGGCGTCGGTAAAGTCCAAGCCCGTCATGGCAATGATAAATTCCGACGGCGAAGATTGCCCCTGATATCTTGCGATAGGCAGACTTGAGAGACTGCCGTGGTACTTCTCTGTGTTCACACCACCAAATAAGACTAGACCAGTTGAGGATTCAAGGTCGTCAAGCCACAGACTAAACGCATTCGATTGTATAAATTTCTGATCAACCATGAGTTGAGGAAGGTTCGAGTATGACTGCTTCTGATTTCTGTTGACCTGGACCTCGTTGCTTGGATAACCTATTCCCAAAATGCCCTCTAAATAGCGGTTAGAGCTTGACCCTATTAAGATCTCTTAGATGGGACGCCCACCTGTGGAGGAAGATAAATAGCCAATTCCGAATTGCAGGTTCTTCAGTTCCGCCCCTCCGATCCGCAAAATATCAGTTGCATAATCTCCTATTGCTGCCGAGCCATCTACGTAGGAAATGTTGAAGTCACTAGACACGTATTGATAAGTAGATGAGGAATTTGCATCGTCTAGAAATTTCGTTAGAACTTCAACTAAGTAGTGGAAAGGAGCTACTGCTTACAGGTCCCCGAGTCCACGCACAGATTATCTTTCGATCTACATAACCTCGATGAGGCCGAATTCGTCCACAAGTCGCTACTGCCAGTGTCAATGTGAAGTCGAAGATTCTGTGGCGGCGTCCCCATGGTGACATTGGCGAAATAAAGAGTTAGCTATGGAAAATAGTATTAGCTGTTGCTCACTCGGTACAGACCATTTCCAAATGATCAGAGCGGTTCCGGCACTTACCTCATTGTCCAGGACTTGCTGTATTGTCTGTGAGGAGTCTCTTCGTCTTAACCTGTCTCTCTCAACAGGACTCCCAACCTCCCTTCTCTCAATACCAAACTGGACGACAGCTGGCCGGTCTCTTTCCACCAATTTTATGGATTCAGCACCCAGCGACAGTACGCCAGCGGCGAGGGCAAATATCGAAGTAGCCCTCATGTCCTCACTATCTAGCAGCGGTTGTTGTGAACTACTGACGATCTGAGGGTTGACGTCCAAGGACGGTTTGACCCCTAGCTTTTTATGCTGCGAAGGAAGGCCGCCGTCGGGGGGGGCTATGTTTTGGCAACTTCTTGGTATTTGAGTACAATTCTTGGTAAGGTGACGTCAACGAAAAACCAACTGATAGATTAAATCGCCGCCAAAATCAATCACAACCCAGGTGCTTCGGAAGGAGGATATTTGTAGGTATAGCTGTCAGTCGCAAAAGAGCGCTTTGAATTTAGGCTTGGATTGTGGCGGAACGAAAGGATCGTAGGCCGACGAAGAATTTACTTCACAGAAAAAAGCGAATGAGCAGAGAGATGAAGATGTGAAGACAAGAAATACCTGTTCGCTGTTCGGAGGCCTGTTAATGACGCGTCAACCAGTTTTCTATCCGGTCTTTCTCGCCGCTCTCTTGATATGCGCTTACCTGAAACAGTGCGTAAATCCCCTGTCTGAGTTCACTGCCACAGCCGCACTCCTCGTTCAGCTCACACAAGGAGGCAGTGAAACGCACAAGCCGACACAGAACTTGTCACAGAAAGTCAATAGGGGCGGCTAGTTTTCATGCGGCGAACAGGCTTATTTATGTCATGCGAATTTTAGCTCTATCGGAGCATACAAAACCTCCGTTCCCGGTACTACCGTTAATCCTTAGTATCTATTGGCAATGCGCCGTGCTCACTGCGCAGTGCTCTACATATATTGTACTTGTACATTGTTTCGACGAGAATCCCTGAATATTCAAATAAGTTGTGAATGACTAAGCTGAAGAATGGCAACGCCAACGCGTATAACCGAAACAAAAGCAGTAAACACAGTGCAGTGATCTCGCGAACCTTCCCAGTCCAAGTCAACCACAGCAGCCATGGCAAAAGCGGAGTCGTCAACCGCGGGTGCCCGGAAGGTCATCACGGCCAACACTAACGGCGCTGGTCCAAATTACGAGCTGCCATGGTATTTATACCCGAACTGTTCAACCATAGCTCGGCCTCAACTACTAACATGTTATTACTGGTAGGGTAGAAAAGTATCGACCAGTATATCTAGACGATGTCGTAGGTAACACCGAGACTATCGAGCGGCTTAAGATTATAGCGAAGGATGGCAATATGCCACACGTCATTATCTCGGGCATGCCTGGAATTGGCAAGACCACTTCCATCCTATGTCTGGCGAGGCAGCTGCTGGGTGATGCATATAAAGAGGCGGTGCTGGAACTGAATGCAAGCGACGAACGAGGCACGCCGCTCTGACTCTGGCGGTGGCGCTGCTTGAGCTAACCTCTCTTATTCCAGGAATTGATGTTGTTCGCAATCGCATTAAAGGTTTTGCGCAGAAAAAAGTGACTCTGCCTCCAGGCCGGCAAAAGCTCGTGATATTGGACGAAGCAGATAGGTACGTGTGGGTCCGGTGGCATGGGTGTCACCGTGATAGGAACCGGAAAGCAGTACATGAAGGTCGTGCTAACAATCTGTTCAGTATGACCTCCGGTGCCCAACAAGCTCTCCGTCGAACAATGGAAATATACTCCTCTACAACCCGCTTCGCCTTCGCTTGCAATCAATCCAACAAGATTATTGAGCCCCTCCAATCCCGCTGTGCCATACTTCGCTATGCGCGATTAACAGATGCCCAAGTCATCAAACGCATCAAGCAGGTATGCGAGGCGGAGGGGGTAGAGTACTCTGATGACGGAATCGCGGCACTTGTATTTAGTGCCGAAGGAGACATGCGGCAGGCGATCAATAACCTTCAAAGCACTTTTGCCGGTTTCGGATTCGTCAATGGAGACAACGTCTTTAAGGTGGTGGATAGCCCCCACCCAATTAAAGTCCAGGCCATGATCAAGGCGTGTCAAGAGGGGAAGGTCGACGCGGCCTTGGAGACTCTTAAGGAATTATGGTGAGTGGGCTTTGAAAAATAGCTCGGTGTTGATGACGCGGCCTCAATAGATCCCACTGACCGCCAGCAGGGATCTCGGGTATTCATCGCACGATATCATAAGCACTATGTTTAGGGTCACCAAAACAATGAATTCCCTCAGCGAACACGCCAAATTAGAATTTATCAAAGAGATCGGCTTTACACACATGAGAGTATTGGAAGGTGTGCAAACATTACTCCAATTGTCTGGATGCGTGGCACGGTTATGCCGGATAAATATGAAGCCTCAGCTTTTTGAACCACCCAGATGATTGTGGAAGGGATCAGGGTTGTTATTGTTGACAACTAGGCGTGATATCTGCGAGGTTCGGGGGGTGAGGGTGATTTTCAAAATAGGAATTGGTTGCGCCCAACAAACGAAACACATTCGCCGTTTGCCAATACAATGACTACCTCTTCGCAAAATCCACCAATGCGTGTTTCGAATCTGTCAATGGCCATAGCCCCTTCCCAAATGCGACGGCTCCAGCCAACAACAGAACATAGTAGGCCACAGTCCACCCCACACCAAGAGCTGCATTGACGGTAGCCTCCCTCTCTTGCTCCCCCTGTTGTGTTGCTGGAGGCCCGGGGAGCGCCGCATCGACCCTTCCCCAGAAACGAGGGAGGCCACACCAGTTGCAAAAACTGTGCTGCAGGATTACTGCCCAAAGCGACCCCGTGCGGAGGAAAACAAAGCTTGCGTAGAAGCCGAAGATGGAGGTGTAACAGAACTGGACGATTGAGCGGAGGAGGGCTGGCGCGAATGGCGTGTGTGGATGGGTCAGTGTATATTCGTAGAAGTGATGGATGTGCGCGATGCCGAAATAGAGAGGGGTGTAGAAGACGGTATGCTTGGGCGCTATCTTGGCTAGGATATGTAATGGAATAAGTGCTGATCGAAAAACGATCTC